TCACTTAGGTTTAATTGACACATATAACGATGGTTTGTATAATGATGTAAAGAGCCATCACTATCCATATCTTCTGCATAGACTCGATACAACAGCAGCAAAAAGCTGTATTTTTCAGTTAAGAGGAAGAGCTGCTTCCCACACTGATTTAATTTATAGTGACTTGACCTCATCCTTGGTGAGTGCATCATCTGCCCTGCTCATTGGCCTCCGTGAATTTTTCACTTGATGTGCTTTGTGTCATGTTTACACCCGATTTCCTGCTACTCCGTGGAGCTCAGTGAATCCCCTTGGCTCACCAGAGCACAAAACCGAATACAGTCTTGCTTCGTTTCTGCTGACACTGAGGCAGCGGTCAGAGGGCACTTCTCCTTTTTGCCCAGTCACCCAGTGTCATAATAGTTTACAGAGGCTCATGCAGTCTAGCATCACACACCCTGCAACAACAAACTGTCAGATAGACACAGCTTGGCAGACACATGGGGCTAATGTTCCCAACCTTTTGGCTTATGACCTTTTAAAACCAGTTCAGATGAAGAGTGATTTTTCCTGCTTGGTTTGTCTTATTCGAGAGATTTTTGAAAGCCTGATGAGGTGAAAGTAGGGATGTCAATGATTAACGGCCAAAAACCGGTTACGCATGTCATCTATAGGTTAATTTTGCTGCTCATCCGTTTACTGCACACCTCACCACCAGGGGTCTGGTGGGAGGAAGCAGTGCAGCTTATTCGGCAATAACAGCTAGTAATGCCAAAACAGTTGTAGTTCTTTTCACAACAACAGAGACACAGGTCTTTTAAACGGATGTTTATTCAGGCATTTCTCTCTCTCTCTGAAGCATCTCCTTCTTGTCACACCATGAAAACTATTTTTAAAAATATACACAACAGAGAATGCATCAATACAGTGTGTGAAATGTGACATGACAGAAGAGAAAACAAAATGGCGGTCAGAACGAACATGAGAAACAAAGTGGAATAAAATACCTCGTTGGCTGCTTGTCATGAAAACGTTCAAATGTTTCTCCGACCGTCTTTCTGATCATCTGCTTCAGCCTCAGACATTTACAAAACAAAAGTCGAGTCTAGTGAAACATTCTTAACACTGCGCTATTCACTGTCCCACAACAAATTCTGCTGTAGCGGCACACAATGTTATTTCAACGTTATTTAGTTCATTAGTTTGGCCACAGAAATACAGAGTAAACACTGCACCAATGCCTTAGTAACTTCAACTTCTTCTAAACATTTTACTATATCATTATAATACATCAACTCAATCACAAGATTTACATTTTAACCTTAATGAACTAAATAATGTGTTTATGTATTTATTAAATTATGAACTTGGTTATGCTTTTGCATATTTTAAACCAAACTTTTTTAAACTTTCATCAGCTCAATTTTGACCGGTAAAACCTCCTTTAGCATTGTTAACTTGTTAGCTTTGTTAGCATAGCTAGTGGTGCTAACATAGTTAACAATGGTTACGGGATATGCGGCTAAAAAGGGCTACCTGGGGGAAGACCAGAGGATGGACACAATACTTCTGCAGTACCGCCGCCCCGGTTGCGGCACATTGTCGCCCACAGTCTGGTCCCCACTGGTTAGCTAACTTTAGCCTTGGCTGCTAACGTTAGCTAACCAGTGGGGACCAGACTGTGGGCAGTGGCACTATGTTTCTGCATGTTAACATGGCTAGCCAGCTGTCTGTCAGCAATACCAACAGAAAATAACATAAAAGGCAAGACAATTACAACACGAAACATTCAAATTTCACCACCTCTGAATAAGATAGCACTTTGAAAGACAATGCTAAAGCTCACTGAGTCAACAGACTTAAAGGGAAGGCTTTCTGTATTTCATTTAAGGGGTGTCAGGCTACCAAAACCAACATTAACTGAACCTGACATCTCTAAGTGAAAGTATTCAATATTTCACAAGAAAAACACATGAATTAAAAAACAGGATTTTGTTTTCTGCTTTTTCCCTTATCCTTTTGAAGATCTTTTGATCCCTCAGATCCATCCCAGAGCCCCTGACAGATAATGGCTATGCTGGGAACCACGGCCACAGACATATGTAACCTATGCAGACAAATACAGACGTTACTGCGGTAAACCACACTGAAAAAGTAAGACAGTTGAGCAACTTTTGCATCTGTTCTGCTTCCTCGATTATAAATCAAGATACAGTCTCTGTGAAGCCTTGCTCTCCTTCCCGTCTACTTCCTTGTTAAGTGTCAGGGCTCAGGAGGGCTCTGTATCAGATGGAAGGAGGGAGACAGACTACAAGAATGAAAAACTGATAAAGAGGGGAGGCAGAAGGCAGAGAAAAGATAGGGGGGAGAGGGGTGAGGGAATATAGAGAGCAAAGAAATGGAAAAAAAGATAAAGGAAGAATGAGAACAGACGTGGTGGCTTGTAAGTTCAATGTTGGGAGTTCAGTATCTGCTCAGCACATTGTGAACTGGATTAGCCAGTGAGCTGGAGTGTGTAGAAAGATGGGACCTTGACATGCATACCCAAATTATATATAAACACAGGTGACACGCTGTCAGGGGAATATCTGGAAAGTGCCACAGTTGTCAAATCAACAGGAGGTTATTGGATTATTCCACCTAACAAGAGCTGATCCATGAGTGTTCATTTTTTAATGGGTATCGATCGTCTTCTCTCCTGTTGCATACGCTCAGACAGGCACGTCAGCGCTCCCCTGCATGCAGAAACGCTCACCCAAGACCTTGTCTCTGAGGTCATTTTCTGACATCATCAGGGAGGGAGCCCACTGTAAAACTAAACCACATTTTTATGTCCTCATGAGAACAGGCACCCACCCAGGGGGTCATAATCGAATGTAGGCCAGAGGAGTGGATGTGCTCGTTCCTCGGTACATAAAGCCATGGCGCTGCAGCTGCATGTTGAGGCTGCAGAATAAACTCCCACTGGAAAAAAAAAAAACATGACCTTTGACTTCTTCTGCTGATGACAGGACAGTGAGATCACTGCTCCCAGTCCTTAGGGGCTCACGCTGTTTCCTTTCAATAACATAGACTGTTATGAAAATAGCTCCATTTGCGTCACTGTACTCCCTCTGTAGGATGCTGATAACCATATGAACTTTGCAAAATTGCTCTTTTTTGTGCATTATTTTTAAGTGCATGGATGTATCATCTGTATGTATCACACATTCTGACCTGCATCGCACAGCATGTTTTTTCTTTGTCATGTCTTATAAAAAGACTGATTTAAAGTGGCTATGATACACATTTTTATATTAAAATTGGATCACGTTGCTTGTGGTGACAAACCCACAGAGAATTATAATGTTGCTCCCTCAAAATCTCACTCACAGACCCCTCAGTCGACTGAGTTTCCTTCAAGTCAAGCAGTCATTTTGTTTGCTTCTTTCTTTTTTTGTCTGTTAGTGTGCAGTGTACTTCTGGGGGCGTTTTGGTCCCCAAATTTAACTGCAGAGAGAGTACTCCTCACTTTCACGCTTTTGCACAGGCAGCTGCCGACACCGAGGCAGCAGCCTGGAGGAAGAGAGGCTTTGCCCGGTCAGGCTCTGAGATAATGTTATCTTCTGCCCTCTGCTCAGAAGTGGTGAATTTACAGCTCACAGCAAAGTAATACGATACAGTCACTGGCTTTTGTTTGATATCTAGTGTCCGCCAAATATGTTGTTGCACATTTCCTAGTTCTCGCTAGCATAGTTAGCTTGTTAAATGTCACTGTTACCCTGAACGTCCTATTGAACCATGTTCAAGCTCTTAAACTCTGTATGAAAAAAAAGGAATGAATGAATGGTGCAGTGGTTAGCATTGTCCCCTCACAGCAAGAGGGTTCCTGCTTCAAACCCAGGTCGAGGGGTTCAAACCCTAGGGGAACCCTTCTGTATGGAGTTTGCATGTTCTCCCTGTGTCAGTGTGGGTTTTCTCCAGGTGCTCCAGCTTCCTCCCACAGTCCAAAGACATGCAGGTTAACTGGTGACTCTAAATTGTCCATAGGTGTGAATGTGAGTGTGAATGGTTGTCTGTCTCTATGTGTCAGCCCTGTGATAGTCTGGTGACCTGTCTAGGGTGTACCCTGTCTCTCGCCTAATGTCAGCTGGGATAGGCTTCAGCCGCACTGCAACCCCCAACAGGATAAGCAGTTACAGAAAATTAACGATGAACAGCCAGATCTGATTCGACTGAAATAGTACATAAATTACTGTTAGGGTTATCCGGCCATTTATTAGAGTTTTTTTATGAATCAAACTTGAAAATGAAGCCTCTACTAAAACCTCTCTAAATTTGCTCTGCTTCCTTTTATTAGCATCTGTCTCTGCATGGGTAATGTTCACATGTTGTGATGTGGTTTGTTGGAGGTTGTGGGCTGCAACTGCATAATTCCAGGTGGATATTCACTTCAAATGTATAAAATTTTGTTAGGTGGAGATAAAATCTTGCATTCATTCTGTCTCATTTCTTCATTTGATCTGACCCAGTAACATCTATACTGAAGTTTACACCTCTGCATCAAATCTCACAAATGTTACCGTTATTATGATACCAAGATTATTCATATAGACCTCGTAGTTGCAATAAAAATACCCAATTAATTTTTAGGCATGTGGTTAGTGGTTAAAGTAGTACTATTTGCTACCTCTCAGAGAAAGTTAGATCCTATCCCGTGAATATAGTAAAGCATTTAGCAGCTAAAATGTTGGTTTACAGCAAAATAGAGCTAAAAGAGAGTCAATATAGGACTGACATTAATTAAGTGGACACAAACACAGCTTCACATGAACGAAAATGTTCCTCCGCATCTGTCAGTTTGCATCTCTTTACTAGCAGGTTTGGCATATGAACTTAGAAATTGATGATATGTCCATGTTGTGTTTAGAAATTGTGTCTGTTGCTACCAAGTGACCAAAAAAAAAAAAAATTAAGTGACTGTAGGTTTAAATGACAAACCCAGTTTAAGAGGGAATGTTTGTTGCTTTGTGTCCCTGCAGGATGATGGTGTTTGGAGTGCTGACACTGGTCCTGAGCTGGACTTCCCTGGGAGCTGACCTGGCCGCTGCTGTGGTGAGCTGCTTCGCCTCCTCACCCCTGACTGACGGGCTTTTCCCAATATAAACTAGTGTAAACTGGTCTGCAATCAATTCTTGTCGTCCCTGACAGTGGTGATAAATTGCTTCAACTACACGCACAGTGCACTTGAAAAATGTCTTTGAATGTGTGGGGGTTAGAGAGGAGAGATCATTATGCACTGCTGCACATGTGCATAATAAACCTGCATGTGTAAATGGATTCATTTTAAACAGACCAAAATGTTAACACAGGGTGCAGCTGCAGTTGGTTGCATTTGCATCAAGACTTTTTTTTATCCAAAATATTGCATGTATTAAGTGTGTAGCTACTCATCAAGGGTCTTTCTAGCCTTTCTTGCTTAAATTAATATTTTAGCCTTCTATTGAAATGTGTGTGAGTTAGAAAGAGCCCTTGCAGCCACGCAGTGTCATCTAAAAGCGCGTTCCCACTGCCCAATCTCAAAATTCTTTTGATCTTGGTTTGTCTGTCACCTCAAACGCTTTTGATCTCTGCCATCAAACGGCACATCGCCTAAAGTAGACCGACAAAAGAGCAAAATCCCAAACGCAAATCTTGTCAGCTTCATTATACGAGCCTGAATAACTTGATTTAAAGTCAAGGATTATGACAACAGGAATTCAGTTTCAGCTTTTAAAGCATAACATGCTGAATAGGTGAATAATTCCAGTGTTTTGCTCTATTATGGTCCCCAAAAGAGCACCCCACACAAATGTTTGAATGACCTTGAGGGTAAGCATTATAGTGATGTGTGGAAATAGAGAGATGCATTTGAGAGAATATCAGATATGAGCGCTGGTGTTTGACTCACCTGCCTCAGGCGTGTGTGCTATTTTTCACAGGTTTGTTGTTGGATGTCGTGTTTTGACTCAGGGGCTGTAGAGGATTGTTAACATGTGTGAATTTAAGTTGGAGATAATGAGCAGGGGGTAGAACGCAGCAGGAGGTGCGATCGGTTACAACAAATTAGTCTCTGGTTTCATCTACCCTTTTCATCTACCAGTATAATGTCTGCTTTACAAGTCTCCACTCTCTGTGGTCTACACGTGCCTGATCAATGGTTGAAATCCTGGTGGATTCCTTGTGATATCAGCGCTATGAAACCAATGCTTACAATCCAAATCCTGCATGCATGCAATGTTTAATATGCTGCAAAATACAGAGGGGGCTCTTTCTCTGGGGAAGATGAATATTCACTGCAAATGTTGTGGCAGCTCAGCCATTAATTACCTACTGTAAAAATGTGAGAGTTTGGGCGGAGTGTGGCCCTTTAAAAAGCATGAAAGCACTGCATAAATTTCATGGTAATCCCCCCATTAGATTTTCATACTGTTTGTGTACAGGCGGGCATTGTTGCCTCTAGAAAACAGTGCAGGAGAAGTCAGATAATGAGCCATCCTTTAAAGACGATGAATATCTGCAGCCATCAATCCCAAGTGATCCAAGCAGGGTTCATTTTCACAATTTGTTTTCCATGACAAAAATGAGAAGATGACAAGCTAAAAATGGATCATGAAAATAAAAACCAAGACAAAATCTGTTTCATTTCTGTTGACAAGACAAGACATGACGAAAGTGTGAGTGGTGCTATCGGACATTGAAAGTCATCACTGTGCTTGAATGAGCGACGGGCTGGCAAACTCCAGTAAATAGTCTACACCAGGATGTTTTGCTAGTTAGCAAAAACACACACACTGGAGCAGCATCAAGGAGAAATTTGGACCTAATTCATTCATTTATTTTCCGTAACTGCTTATCCTCTCAGGGGTCATGGAGTGGGGGGCTGGAGCCTATCCCAGCTGACATTTGGCGAGAGGCGGGGTACACCCTGGACACCAGACTATCACAGGGCTGACACATAGAGACAGACAACCATTCACACTCACATTCACACCTACAGACAATTTAGAGTCACCAATTAACCTGCAAACTCTGCACAGTAGGGCTTCGCCACTCAAACCAGGAGCCCTCTTGCTGTGAGGTGACAATGCTAACCACTGCACCACCAAATTTGTACCTAGCTTGACCAAATAATGGCAGCACACACTCAACCAAAAAAAGGCCATATAGGTCATCAGGGCAAGCAGCTTATTTCGACCCATATTTACATTTATTGTTGAGCGGCGACCTTTTGTGGCCGTAGTCATTATGACGGGAGCAAATGAGGGAGTCAGGTGATGTAGTATAAAGAGCGACAAAGTCCTGTGTATGTATAAAAAGAATTGGATACAGTGTTGGAGGCAGGGCCCCATGTTGCTCAGTGGCACAGGAAGCCAAAAACATTCGACTCTCCAGGTGTAAAATTAAAAGTAGAACAGGAGCAATTGAGACTTCAGCTAACTTTCAGCACTCCGCTAACTTAAATGGAAATAAACTGATCTAATTGTACAGCTTTTGTAAACTTAGCAGTGTTATCAGACCAAATGGATCAAAACCTGATAGTGAAACGAGTCATTTCATAGAATATGTGACGCTCAAAAACAACGTATCCACTGCTTTAAAAAATGTAAGTGTGTGGTAAAAATGTTTTGGGCCCCATGGCTGCACATGACGGATTGGGAAGTTGTAATTCCATGGTTTGACCACAATGTCAAATTGGCTTAAAAGCCTGGCGCTGTTCAAAGGGGCTTGCAGGGTTGGCGTAGGGAGGAAGTCGGGTTGGTTGGATAGGTCAAACAAACACAGGGCTTTCACCCAAGAGAGTGCTGTTAACGTCCCGTGTAAAACCAAACGTCAACGCTGACTTATTTTAAGTATGTACAATACATTTGTAACATCATTAACTTACGTAACTTAGGGTAAATCACGTACATCACTTGAATTATATAACATTATCATCTTAATCCAAACCAAGATGTTTTTCCAAAACCTAACCAAGTAGTTCTGTTGACTTAAACCAACTACGTACTTTTGTTAACTGCGAAGATTTCATGACGACAACCATGTGTTTAAAACTGATACCGTTAGCATATGTGCCTGTCACTGGTACTCTCCAACGATCATATTTGTCATTTTAGGAGTCATTGGTAAATGACCTATTCTGTGGTTGTGGTATCAGGATGTGTTGAGTAATGGTCACAGGGTCATCAAAATCATGGGACATTATCATCTAGTGACCATAAATATGCAAACCAAATTTCATAGCAATCTGGCCTGTTGTCATTAAGATATTTTTACTCTCAACCAAAGTTTGTTGTGTTGTGGCCACTTGATGAATGAAAGAAATGACAGATCGTTCTTACATGTCGTCCTCTCAGTGTTGTAACAAAATAACGACATTTACATCAACCCGTTATGTAACCTGTCACGTGGTGTTTGGTCGAGACTGACCCTGACCGGACTGCATGGTCAACTCTGCCTGAGAGCAAACACAGCGGCTTAAAAAGGCCTCATAATGACTCAGGCAGGGATAAAACCAGCTGTGAACAAGGCAATTACATGATCAATCTGCAGTGGCTCCTTCATACATCATCAGACATCACATCTGTGTGAATGATTTTGTGTGTTTGTGTACGTGTGTCTTCTTAACTGTGTGTTAACGTGAGTGGTACAGGCCTGTATATGTGGAGTGTGTGTTAACTTGCTTGCATGAAGGTTAGACAGACACTGTGTGTGTGTGTGTGTGTGTGTGTGTGTGTGACTCAGTATAGTCTGCACTGCTCTAAATACCAATGACACATTTCTTAGCCATCTACCTACATCATACTCTGTAGGGCTGTCATTTGATTAATCATTTAGTCCATAAAAATACTTCAAAATAGATGTTTTTTGTCTGAATAATAGTCTAAAACTCAAAGATATTTCAGTTAAAATGATATAAAGCAGTAAAAAGCGACAAATCTTCACATTTGAGAAGCTGAAACATGAGAATATTTGCTTAGTTAAATTACGTAAACGCTTAATCCATTATCAAAATTGCAGTTAATTGCTTCAAATTTCTGCTCATGGAGTAATTGATTAAATGATTAACTGTTAGTACTGTGTAAGAAAACACAAACCTAAAGTGAATCAGTGTGGAAGCTTTAGTTGAAGCTCAAATTTCTTGGGACTTCTCTGTATTTCCTGTTTTTTCTTTCAGTATGGTTTAACTCAGACTGTTGACACCACTCATCCATTTCTGGGGGCTTTCAGGGGCTGCAGACTGTAGCAAACACTGGGCAGGTCATCAGTCCACTGCAGGGCTGAAATAAATTGACATTCACACCTTTGGGCAGCTCTCCACATGATCTGGCTTTAATGGGTTAGGACTGTTGAGGGGAACCGGTGTGTAAGCAAGGAGAACATGCCAGCAGTGGTGACTACTTGAGCTACATCCACACTTATAAGGATGGGTAACGGACTGTGTACTTTCAAACTGTACTGATCGAATAATGCTCAAGTTCTGATTCACGTTATATCAATCAGTGCCAAATTTCCGTACCTACAAGCACACCTGGATGAGAATGCCAGGTTCAGACAGGAGGTGGAAGCACCGCAGAGTGACCCAAGGCAGGGAAGCCACCCGCAGAACTCCGTGGCCAGCTTCCCAGCTTTGGGGCGCTTCATGGCACAGACAACAAAGCTCCACATAGCCGATGGGTGCAAAAGGAGGCAGAAGTGCTGCGAGGTGCCCCGAAGCCGGGAAGCCAGCCACAGAGCTTCATCGGCTCCCCAGCAAAGCCAAAATACCTGCTCTATTTTCTTTTCTGTTTTGTTTTAGAAATGCCTGTGATTGTATTTATTAAATCACGTACTTATTCTATATGTTTGTGAGTTGCGACAAATTACATTTTTGTTAAAAAGTTACAGAATTCGAGGTACTTACACCTTTACTGGAATCAGTTCAAATGTGAACAGTACCCAACCCTACTAATATGTAATGTCTCCGCCTTGCTTCCGCACTACTCCGGCGTTTTGGTACACCTAAATTGGTGGTGGTTTGGTTTGAAAACTGTGGGGTTGTGTTTTGGTCTGGACAGGCAAAAACTGAGTTTTGAAAACGTAGGCATCGATTTTTGCTTCCCAATTCGGTCTTATCAATCACAACATGTCAAGCCAAAACTTTATAGCTAGGCCTCTCGTGTGGGCACTCCTTGCCCATTGCTATACCTTCCTCTGGCGATAGATAATGCTCTCTGTGCCACTGTTGCTGTATTTGCTTTGGACTGCTCCCAACTGAGAATTTTCCTAGTCAACCAATAGTCATCATTTAGGACCATTCGTCAACTAGTCGCCCGCATGTTTACAATATTAATGTAATTATTAAATGATATATTTTGGTGGTTTGAGTTGAAGGTGTGAGAAAGAATAGTATCAGTAACATTGTTAACACTGTGCTACATTACAGAGAAATACAAAACCATACTAATGAACCTTCATTAATATAGGCCTATATTTTATCTACAAGTGCACGTCACACACTGAGCGAGCCGCCTGTTAATGACGCTGTGGGCTAATAGGCATGTAGCTACTTCCATGTTTCAGATGATACGTCATGTTTGTAGTCGACCAATGAAGATGAGTTTACATATCACCTTGGGTTCGTCCTTCAGCTTCTCAAAATGATCCCACACTTTGGATTTCCTGCCCGACATGTTTTTATCTACCCTGTGGAATAATGTAAATTAACCTGACTCCTGTCTGACTGCTGAGCGTGGCCACTTCCTGTGTCTGTCCTTTCAAATTAAATTCCCTCATGGTCCCGTCATATAGGTTTTGACGCAGCGCCTTATAGAGTTTCACGCTTTTTGTTTTTTCCTGCGACTAAGCGACCAATGAAATCGTGTCAACTAATGACCTTTCTGTTCAACTAACGTTTGGTGGACTATTAGGGGGCAGCCCTACACTCTGCATACAAAGATGGCGTCTCTACTTCCTCCCACTGTACAAAAATTAAACCAAAATATCCCGGATATGGCTGCGGCCATCTTGTGCTGGTGACGTCATTTGAAGCCAGAATCTGAGCAGCAACAACCTCCGCAGTGTCAAACTCCTGTGCATACACCCATCCGACCATTGCAAGTTGCACCAATGACAGCGAGCACATCAACTGGCACACACAGCTGTCAATCATGATGTCAAACCCCCTATTTTATAGCATCAAATAACTAATTAAAACCAACATTATCAGAAAAATGAGCACTTGAACACACATCAACATGATAAGAACTGGTCCCATCTGCTAACATGGAGGGGACGGGGTTTATGACCTTACTGCAGCCAGCCACCAGGGGGCGACTGAGATGTTTTGGCTTCACTTTTGGTGAGCTATCGTGTTATCCATCTTTATTGTACACGTCGGCGGTCCAAGCAAAGAAATTTGTCATCTTAGTTGTCACCATCTCCATAATATTTTCCATAACTAAGCCACTAACCACAGAGCAGATAATCTTCCTGTTCACATCAGCAAGCCCAAGCCAGTGTACATTATTGGTCGAGTGATGTGCGTTTTCAGGAGTGTGAGTACGAAAAGTAAGCTTGTGTTTACAGAGATATTTTTTTGCTTTAAAACGCCCTTTTAAAATGAAAACACACTGGTATGGATCTGGCTCTCACATCGCCCAAACACACTGCTGCTGCCTGAAAGTGTCTGAAAATCACTACAACACTTTGTCTGACCTCCTCCACCCTCGCTCAGGGTTGAACTTGTGAAAATGTACTTGCCAGTGCAGCCAGTCTGCTTTGTCCCACTTAAAATGAGAGCAGGTCTTTGTTACGATGTCAGACAACCAGCACGTCCAGAGGAAAACTGCACGCCAGTGTGGTGCATCAGTGTGTTTGTTTGTCTTGCTAAGGATCTTCGTTTGTGGCTTCAGTCTGTCGTCACAGGTGTGCATGTCAGATGATTTTGTGCTTTACTGGCTTTGTTTTGTGTGTCTGCATCTTTAAACTGTGTGTTTGTAGGCTACAGTGAAATGACTGCCTTAGTACACAATAAATGAATGCATAATGAACGCACCCCTTCACAGAGCTGTTAATTACAGACAGCGGGTCATCTGCACTCTCACAAAATCACTGTTTTCATTTCAGGAATTCTAACAAACTTGCTCCTGAATTGCAGAGCTCCTCCGTATAAACTAGCTCGGGTTTACCGAGGAACTCAGCTCGCTGTAACTCGTCTGTGTGCGGGGCTCATTAGCGTCCCCCCCTTGAGAAGGTTAAGCTACGCGCAGTGTGTTTGACCTGAGCCCGGGGGACATTTAACATTCAGACAGCGCAGTTTGGAGGAGACTCCCCGCTCCTCACTTGTGTTATTTTGCCAAGGCAGGTTTCTTGTTAGCACTGTGCGCTGGAGTGAAAGTGGTTCTGAGTGACAGAATTGAAAAGTATTTCTGTCTAGACATGTTGGAGTGGATTTTAAATGCAGCTTGTATTTTTTCTTTTTTTCGTGTGTCACAAAGTGATAAGAATGATGTCAAAAATGCTTTCAAAGTGCTAATGAGCTTTTAATGTCAGGTGGAGTATTTGACACAACGATTCTTTCCTTCTACTGAATGCTTCTTTATCAATTTCTGTTTTTAACCTCTTCATTTCAAGAACCACTCATTCCTTTCAGGTGATTTCTGTTCGCTGCTCTCACACGTCTCCTGTTTTTATCTCAGGGAACGAGTGATTTCTGCGTGTCCCCTGACAAGTATCTCATGAGCCAGACAAAGGGTATCATCGGCACTGGTGAGTGAACAGTGTTGCATTAATGGAGTTGTAATTACAAGAGCGTAGAGCTGTGGCCATGACTGTGCTTTAGTTAAAAAAATAATGGTTTTACTATTTAATCAGCTTCTTCTGCCTTTTTGTGTGTTTCACAGATATCGTTCATTACTACCTTTACTGCAACCAGACTCTGTCCAACCCCTTCCAGCAGGTAGGAAACAGGAAGCTTTGCTGCTCCTACTGAATGTTGACTGATACCAGCATTGGTTTGTTGATTTACAGGTTATTAGACGTCACGTGTCCAGGTTAAACAGCTTAATTTAGATGGAAAAACACTTTGTAAAGGTCTATAAACAGGGCCTGTAGCTAACACTGTGGGCAGGTCATTGGTATTTTTACTGGTCATCGGTATTTTAACATTCTACAGTTACAAACAAACACACAGTGGGTGTTTTATAAGCTGACTGCAATATGTTTAGACTCAGTCTAACTAAAATAGAACAAGTCTCTGTTTGTCTGTCCTTTGATTTTTTCTTGACAACCGTTCACACGATCAGCTTCACTGAATGAAGGGCACTGTCGAGTGTGAGTTCTTGAGATCTATGGGACAAATTTGTTAGTGGTACTTTATGTACACACTGTGTAGTGTATTGAGAAGGGACCCTGTGATGGTTCGATAAGCTGTCAGAGTAAGCATGGAGCCCACACTGTAACTAACTGCACTCCCTGAAGGAATATTATAATATTTTTGGAGAAATGAAAGAGTGATTCCAGAGAGAAGCAGACAGAGGGGTCTACAGTCTGTGTTTGAAGGATATATCCAGGATGTCAAACTGACTCAGCAGCAACAACAGGTTAAAAAGACAAAGATAGTTAGAAGCTAAAGCCGAACTATAGGCTACAGATCACAGTGTAAAAGTGAACCACCACATCACTGCTGATCGCCACACAAGACAATGAATATAAAGGGAAACTTTGCTGATATTGAACCACCCCTGTGCTGCTGCCAGCACCCAGACCTCCGCCACCGGACAGGCAGGGATCTCCTTGGTAAGTCAAACAACGTTCATGTGATGACACAGAGCTGGTTGAATATCAGCAAAGTTTCCCTGCTTCCCTTCACTGGTTCCTGTACAGCAGGGTCGGCCTTTGTTTCACTGTTATAATCATTACAAAGCAAAAGCAGCATGTGTATACATTCAGTAGGCTATATCTTCAGTAGCTAGCTAGCTAACCCTACACTTTTCAGGGTTTGATTTTGGTTTTGGAACAGGGAAGAAACGTATATCTTTTTCCAACCTCTCCAGGTAACGAGTATCATTAATACACGACGTGCCCCAGGCACAACATTTAGCTCCAAATCCACAAAACCAGCCTGAAAATGAAGGAAATCTGAAACAACTGCATTAGAGTCTATGGAGAGGGGTTTTTAGTTGATCAGATCAGATCAATGGATAAGAGGAGCAGCTGCTGCAGAAATGAGTGAAAGCAAACTTTCAGACCCAATGCAATTGACGGTGAAATTTTCCTCACACTGCGCCTTGGTGTTCTGCTGCTCCATATGTAGCCAGACTACACTCTGTACTCCGAGAGTGTGGTTTAATGAATAGCTTAATGGTAGAGATATTCACCCACAGTGCTTCTAATTAACGGTCCAGCTCCAAAAATAAAAAATCAATACGGGGCGGCAGATGTTGTTACTATGGCGGGCTGACACAAATAAATCAATGTATGGGAAAGAATGGAGAAGAAACCCTAATGTCTGCAAAACAGCATGATGTTAACATCCACAATGTGATATTGTTAACCCAAATTTTATTTCAACCAAAATGTAACATCCGTCTGACATATGTCAAATCAACGTCTGGTGGCAACTGGAAGAGGACTGAATTTCTACACCAGAATTTTAGTCCAGGCAATGTGAAGAAGGAACATCATTTAAACCAGTGGTTCCCAACTGGTCCAGCCACTGGGTCCAGATTTCACCTTAGTCATTAGTTCAAGGTCCACACAGTTTAATGCATTCAGCGTCATACTTGCGTTTGGCCATGTCGTCGAGCTAGTTTGCTGTCTTTGTTAAGTAGCTGACAATTTAGCTGACAGAAATTTATTATTATTATTTGCAGTCCATTCAGAATGGATCCACAACCCACCAGTTGGGAACCACTGATTTAAACCTTTATTTTGAGATGGAACATTCGCAGAATTAATATTAATAAAAAAGGATATAAATTATTGTTAACTGATTAAATAAAATATAAGAAATCCAAATAATTAAAGAGGTATCCAAAATCCTGGCCACAACCGTGTGTTCAGGCACCCATTGTTTAAACTGCATTTAAATGACTGTATCTGAATGTGGAGCAGATCCTCTCTACATATTGAAAAGATGGTTTTATGTAACCCAGACGTTTTGAAACTTAAATGTCCAAACATCCTCTGACTTGTAATTCATGAAATCAGCGCTGGATAGGGAGTTCATTGCTCTGCCCCTCAAGCCTCATATTTGTCAAGCTCCTTCTCTCCATCCAGCCCTGTCTGTCTGATTTACATCCTCACTTCACCTCACAAGCCTGGCTGTACGTTACAAAATTACAAAGCATCCGACGCTATCTCCGAGGCTGTCACCATCATTTTTCCCTCCGTCTCTTTCTCCTGTATTACTTCAGTCTTTGGCATTTATCAAGCAAACAAGCCAAACTGTTACAAAACTCCCAAACAGACGCTGTGAAATTGCAGAATATATTAAGCAATTTGGTGATTCTCCGTCTTCCCTATCTTCTGAGGTTCTGCGAGGTTACTACTGCGGGTCACATCAACGAATTCACCGCTGATATCAGTCAGTGGTAAAGTCAATTTCTGCGAGCTCTGGCCCAGCGGAGCTCAGATCTTATTATCTGGCTCTCGTAGACATGCCCCGAGGATAACAAGAGCGCAGCAGCACAGGGCAGACAGCCGTCTCCCCGCCTGGTAAACAAAGTCAGCACTCGTTTCTCTGCCACACACATAACCAACAGGTGCAAAGTTCACAAGCGAGCTGCCAGATACAGGGATTCACACTGATTGGCAAACATACAAGCTCCCTCTTCTCTGCCTCGCTCTCTCATGTATTCTCAGCCTCAACCTGCAGCGCTGCCCTGTACTTCTACCCTCCGTGCCCTTGTATTTCATCGCTCTGGGGCATTACTTCTTTCCACGGCTCTTTTTCTATTCTTATCATCGTCATCTCCTCTCCCTTTTCTTCCTGTCCTCCTCCATCCACTTTCTCTGCCTCCTATTTTTACTTTATTTGGCCCAGAACGAGCTCGCCCAAGCTGAAATAAAAATCTGATCAGGCTGTGAGATTGTGCTGCAGAGAGCAGTTTGACCGCCAACAGTCGTGCAGATCCACAGAGAGAAAAAACGTCAGATCAGAGGAAAGCAATTAAATTTATGGATGGTCGAGGTAATTGACCATATCCTGTTTCAGTTTAACATTGTACCACAGGCCAGGGGTTTCCAGGCTGCTCTCGTTAGGTTGGGTGACTGTGAAGATACAATTTTACTTTAGAGATGTGACAGATTAATTCATTTATGGTTATGCTCCAATGTTAATTGAAAAAGAGGCACTGGGCAGAAGGTGCCGTCTTTCAGGTGGGTTGTGATTATCCACTTACATCGTACTGAGTGTGGAGGATTACTTTGCCCCCTTTTGGTGGGAACATAAAACCACAATGATGACTCCAGCTATAGAGGACTGTAATGTAATAATTGGATATTATTATATCAGTTTAAATCAGTTCACTGACCTACAAAGCCTTAATATATTAATTTATTTGGTCAAAATTGAGTTAAGAACAAATTAAAGGTTTTCCTCTCCTGTTTCGGCCCTTGTTTTTCATCTTGTTCCTTTATACATGTGTTCATTTTTATTAGAATTTTGGGTTTCTAATGAGCATTCAAAGCTCTCTTTGGCCCACTTGTGGGGGGTTTGCTATTAAAAAGAAAACTACACCCTTTTTAAAATTCATACATGTTACTCCTGTGGTCTTAAAATTAAACTATTATTAGTTAAATGGGATAAAAAGATGGGCAAGTGAGCTGAGGGAACAGCAGAAAAGGCGGTTGGGGAAGAATAGTTTAAGAAAATAGCTTAAATGTAAAATTAAATGACATTTCTGGTTGTTGCAAATCTATAGTGTGTTTAGCATGCCATGAGGTAGCTACAGAAAAACTTCACCAAAGTCAGTAGGATACATCATCTGGGGAACAAGAATGTCCCTACAAAATTTTGTGCCAGTAAGTGTTGAGATATTCTAGGGAACACATGAAAAGTTTGACTCGAGGGTAACACTACAGGTAAAATCATGTGATTATCAAAGTCTTAAAGGGAAACTATGTCCATTTTCAAAATTCATACATGTTATTCCTGTGGTCTAAAATAAAATTAGTATTAGTTAAATATGATGCAAGATGGATAGGTGAGCTGAGGGAACTCCAGAAGAGGCGGTTGAGGAAGAATAGTGTTAGAAAATAGATTATATGTAAAAGTAAAGGACATTTCATAGTGTGGTAACATGCTAACAATAGCAAATTAGCTACAGAGAAAGTTCACCAAGGCATTAGAATACATCATCTGGGGACCATGAATGTCCCTACAAAACTAATTCAGGGTAATACCGATAAAATCATGGGATTATTTAAGTCTTAAAGGGGAACTATGCCCATTTTCAAAATTCATACATGTTGTTCCAATGGTCCAAGACACTCCAAAATATTCATAAACATGAACAACTATCTCCTAAATCCAAAAACTAGAGTTCTAGAGCTAAAATTTGTGATGTCATTGAGTACAAAGTCCGGAGCTGCTCCATAGACAATGAATGGTGAAAGATGTTCTAGATGACACTGAGAGCACCTAGATGAATGGTCTGAGTCTATGGGAACATTTTCTGTTTCCGGACTGAGAACACAACAATAGTATAAAGCTCAAAAAACAAATATTCAATGGGTCCAAAAAAACAGTCTCCCATTCACTCGGCCTCATTCACAAAAAGTGTGTGCACATAAATCTGTTCTTAAACAGTGCATAGGAACATTTAGAATAGAATGAATCGCCAACTATTTTGATAATAGATTAATTAATAGGTTAATTAATAGGTAATTTTTTGAGCAAAAATTTCAACATTTGCTGGTTCCAGCTTATTAAATGTGAGAATTCATTGCTGTTCTTTGTCATTTATGATAGTAAATGAAGAGTCTTTGGGTTTTGGACTGTTGGCTGGTTAAAAAAAAAGCAAATTGAAGATGTCACTTTGACTTCTGGAAAATTGTGATGAGCAGTTTTCACAATTTTTTTGACATTTTATAGATATTACAGCTGAATGAATAATCGTGAAAATAATCGACTAATCAGTCTGAAAATGAAAACAATTGTTAGTTGCACCCCTGTCTCACACAAATCTGGGATTCAACAGTATTTTATTACCTGACTTTGTTCGTACTCTGAACAAACTTAGAACTGCCTCGGACCATGCATACTCACAAATGAGAAAGGCCCAGCTGTCTTTGAAAACATTTCGAAACATCTTTAAACTAAATGCAGGGCATATCAAAACCACCTTAATTACAAAAAGGCTTTAATAGACAACAATTCTAAAAAACATTATTTTACTAATTAACTGGCCAAGTGTGTTAAATATCCACAAAGCTGACACCCTCTCATTGTCATCAGTTATTGTCTTGATAAAGAATTAGCTTACAGTGGACTATATGAGAATGTCCATCTTGAAAACTAATAATTTGTAGTGCCACAAAATTGTGCATATGTAGCCAATCAGTAGCCTATGCAGGGTACATGAAGGATTCTTTACCTCCAAGCATTTGTTAAGATGGCACATGTAGCCTTGCTTGAAGATACTGCAGTCTGTATCTTCAGAAGAGAGCGCATCTTTAGAGACTGACCTAACGTGTTTGAAGTGAGTCTATGGAGCAACTCCAGACTTGATACCTAATGGCATCACAAGGTTGAGAGACTTACTTGTCTCGTTTCTGGCTCACACATATTGACTGAACTTTCCAAGGCTGTGGAAAAGACATACTGAAACTCCAAAATTTAGGTGGTATTTCACTTTAATTTAGCTGAATTCTGCCTTTCGAAAAAACTAACAAATGACATTACAGAAAAATAAGATCCATTATAGTCGCTGTTGCTTTTTCATCCATGTGTTTTCACTTTGTGGAAGAACGAGACATCTGCACATTCTTTTAGAAAAATCAAGCACATTATGTCACTTGACAATAGCTCCATTAAACAGCCTTGAGAACCTTTAGTTTCTCTGCTGTTTGCCGACTCTTTCATTGTGATGCTTCCCTCAAGACTTCTATTAGGACCAGTGTTTACTCGTCATTTGCATGCTCTTAACTCTGCGTGCATTCAAACACATTCTCTTGTTTGCAGCCCCTGACCATCTTCCAGAGGTCCCTGACCACCATGCAGATCCAGATCCAGGGTCTGCTGCAGTTTGCCGTGCCTCTGTTCCCCACTGCTGAGGTATCGCACACACAAACACACAAAGCTATGACTTTCATGCCGTAGTACAACAGCACAGCTCAAGAATTTGCCAGTGATACTGTCTGGTGACCTCTCCGCAGAGAGACCTACTGGGTATCCAGCATTTGCTCAACTCCTCGGAGGCCAGTCTGCACCAGCTGACCGCCCTGCTGGACTGCAGGGGGCTCAACAAGGTTCGTTCACTGCATCCTAATTGGCATCGCAGCAGCACAACTAGGTCAACAGGAGAGTAAGTGGCCACACAGGATTTCGGCATCAAACTGAAAGTGGAACTGGGAACAGAGCAGAGAAAGGCACAACTGAAAGACTTTCACATTTAATGAGAGGAACTTTTCTAAACTGTGTTTTCTTACATACGTATGTGCGAGTCTCCTGCACCGTTAAACCTGAACGGTGTAGCTTATGACTGCAGTACATAAATAATGTCGAACATCCCACTGAATGTGCACAACATGAATGAAGTATGTGCCTCCTGGAGACGACGCACTCCAGCGCTCTAAGTGCTTTTTCATCTTTGCTTCACTTGCTCTGCTTTGAATTCAAATGTGACAGTAAGAATCCGCCTCAACAAGCATCTTCCCCTTTTTTGTCTGTGTTATATGATGTCTTTGATCTCTCCAGGACTACCTGGATGCAATGGTGGGGGTGTGCTACGATGGGGTGGAGGGTGTACTCTACCTCTGCCTCTTCTCCACCCTGGCAGCCTGTGCCTTCACTGTCATGCTGTGTGCCATTCCCAGGGCATGGAGACAAATTGCCTGCAGGTCAGTTCGTTCTCTACGTCTCTGCCTGCCTGAGCGCCCTCATTTCCTCATCCTGCAGCCATCTTTATGCAGTTATACCCACTGTATGAGCCAAACAATATAGATGTGTCCCAGATGTTCTGCTACAAATATACATTTAATAGTTGGACTTCAAAATACCTTCTTTAAGTAGCTAATAATTTTAGCGTGCGTCCTTTTAAACTCACCTTTCATTATAACCCTCACTGTTTATCTTTCAAGATATAACATGTAACTTTTCCACACTGAAATGTCTAAAAACAACTCGAGCAATGTTATATACTTTGCTGAGTTGATTATCCCAAATGTTTCCGACAATGTTCAAACCCGGAGAAATCTGTAATTTTAATCAAGGACATGTTCTGTGTCCTTGATTGAGGTTGTAATTGTGGTTGGCTGCCAGAGGCTGACTTTTTATCCAGGTTTAAGCCACATTTTTCCAATATGCTTTTTAGATTTTGGTTGTTTTCAACGATATGTTTTAACTGGATGAAGATTTTAATCATCCGACATCTGGACTTTAAAGTATCAGAGAAAAAAGTTGAGCAAATGTTAGCGGCAGCTTGGCTCGAGCACCTGCTGTGCCGAACAGCATAGGAGAAACACTGATTTTTAAAGTGCAACTGCTTTATTCAGGATTTTTACCAGATTAAATCACCAGGTCTGTTTTTCTTGAAGAGGAAGAGACCTCTGTGGATAATTTGGCTCCTGGTAAAACCCTCTTTAAACTCTGGCTCTTTAGCTATTGGTGAAAAAACGTGAGCACGCATTAGCAGAAGCTGAGCTAGCAGCCCTTCTGTGACAAGCCAAGCAGCATTGGAGAAACACTGATTTTTAAAGTGAAACTGCTTTATTCAGGGTTTTTTACCAGTTTAAATCACCAAGTTTGTTTTTCTGGAAGAGGAAGAGCCCTCTATGAATAATTCGGCTCGTGGTAAAAACCTCTGCGACAAGCCAAATAGCATTGGAGAAACACTGATTTTTAAAGTGCAACTGCTTTATACAGGATTTTTACCAGATTAAATCACCAGATCTGACTTTCTTGAAGAGGAAGAGACCTCTGTGGATAATTCGGCTCCTGGTAAAACCCTCTTTAAACTCTGGCTCTTTAGTTATCGGAGAAAAAACGTGAGCACACATTAGCAGAGGCTGGGCTAACAGCCCTTCTGTGACGAGCCAAGCAGCATTGGAGAAACACTGATTTTTAAAGTGAAACTGCTTTATTCAGGGTTTTTACCAGTTTAAATCACCAAGTTTGTTTTTCTGGAAGAGGAAGAGCCCTCTATGGATAATTCGGCTCATGGTAAAAACCTGCTGAAAGTCTGGATCTTTAGTTAAAGGAGAAAATTGGGGCAAGGGCAACTAAACGGGAAGTATAATGTTGGCAAGGATTCACTGAGTTATGCTTCAGGTTGCAGTGTTTGCCTGTCTTTGTTAACATTTTGGCAAATTGGCATTATTAAAAGTATGCAGAATTAGCCTTGTGTGATGACTCTCAGTTAAGTTCTGGAGTTATAAGCAGTGTCTGCTTTCGATGATTTCTAACTGGATTCACGGATGTTCATTTGTTATTCTGAGACAACTGTGTAACAGTATAAGTCACACTGAATCCAAAAATATCTGTATCATGTCTGTGGGTTCATTTGACTCGAGTTATTTTAGTTATGATTCAGAGAGGAAGTAGCTGAAGTACCTTAATTGTCTCGGTGAGCCGTGTGTCACAGCCACCGCTGCTGCTGCTGACAACACTGATAAGCAGTCAAATGAACAGGACCAACAACAATAATTAACCTCCCTTGTTTTTACAACACCGGCATGCACCAGTCTCTTTCACCTCACACACTGTCTTTGCGTCACGTGTCTCCCTCACAGTTTGAAACCTCTGGACCGAGCTATTCATCTGGCTCCTCTTCTGATGTTTCCTGTGTCCTCTAGGGAACGAGATTATGATGACATCGATGAAGAGGATCCGTTCAACCCACGGGCGAGGAGGATAGCCTCCCAGAACCCCAACCTCACCAACATGCACAGCTTCTGCAGCTACAGCAGCAGCATGGGCAGCCAGAACAGCCTACACCCGCCCGCCCCAGCTCTGTCCAACGCCCCCGTATCCGAGTACATGTGAGTCAACAGATGTGACACGTGGAGCAAAGTGTGATTTCTAAATTCCACTATTCCTCATAAGTCGCTTTTTTTATTCTTTCTCAGGAACCAGACAGCTCTGTTCGGGGGAAACCCGCGGTACGAGAACGTGCCTCTGATAGGACGAGGCTCTCCACCCCCCTCGGTGCGTTGGGTCCCAGAGGCCAAGTCCTTCCTATGATGTCACTTCCCTCTGAGCTAACAGACAGATTTAGCCTTTAAAGCACAGGAAGTTGTTGTATTATAAATAACTGCTGATTATTTCACTCATAGATTCACTCAGAGGCTCTTTTCCTTCATTAAATGTCACTCAAATGTTAATCCATATATAAAAACTTTCCTTAATTTAATCAACTTTTTTAAGGATTTCCTAAAAGGTATTTAATGAGATACTCTTTTATCGTACACTGTGCCTTCCTCTGCCCTCCATAACTTACTGAGGCTTACAGTACCAAAGCAAGGCGAGGAGAAGTAATGTGGTTAATATTTAATCATGAAGTGAACATCATTTAGCCTCTCTCAGGCCAAATTCCCAGGAGGGAGTGACCCGGGTCTTAAACCACAAACTGGCTCACTGTTGACACTGAAGGTTTTCTTCCTCATTGAATAAATTTGCTCCCCGCTGGGCCACTTGTCTCCTGTTACTGTACATCACGGAGATAAATATAGAAACATTTTGGATTAAATTTTCATTGGGCGCAGCCTCTTAATAACATGCTACGCAAGTGTGTGAAGAAATACAGCAGTTAAAGCAACACGTTCTCACTCCCAGCACTCTGACGCTTGGTCAGTGGCCCTATGGCGCTCTAAGTACTCCTCCTCCATCAGTCAGGGATGGCATGTCAAATTCAGAGCAGCGCAAGGCACTGAAGTCAATTTTTATAGTGGCCAAACAGTGGAATTACAACTTTCAGGTTCGTCACACGATGCCACTGGTCGCAAAAGGAGTTTCTACCATAGACTTACATTGTGAAAGCGATGTCTGTAAATCAATGGATACATTTTTTTGAGGTCTGCAACCTAAACAAAATGACTTGTTTCACTATCAGGATTTGATCCATGCAGTCTGATAACATTTGGAAAGTCTAGAAGACCTGCAACATTAAATCATTTTATCCCCATTTAATTAAGTGGAGCACTACGCCAGAAGTCTCTAGTGCCCTTGCTCCATGGGCCCAATGATGCGGAAGCAGCGGCAATCATCTGGGTAATTTTATGCACAGCAGTTGAACATTTTTGGCTTCATGCGCCACTAAGCAACTTTCATAGGAATGAAAAGGGCCCCCCTTACGCTCGTTACTCGCATTGTGTCTTTCAAAATAAACTTAAAACGCAGATTAAAGAAAAACTTTTCACAGTAAAAGTACAGTTTCTGCTTGTTAAATTAGGGTGACCATATTTTGATTTCCAAAAAGAGGACACTTGGCCGGCCACGACTACTTAAATGATACTCGCAGTTTACTCAAAGACGCCTTATCATTTTAATATATTTAAAATTTATATGTATGGATAGAAAATTCAGTTATATTACAAAATAATATCTCTCAAAGACAGAAATTCAGATAGGCCTCTATAGGGGACACATACACACACTAGAGTGTGGCGATCAAAGCCCGGCGGTACCCGACGGGTCGGGCCGGGTTTGGTCAAAAATGTAGAGCTACATTTTTGACCAAACCCAGCCCGACCCGTTATAGCTATATAAATTGTATTCGGGCTCAGGTTGGATTCGGTCAGCTTTCAGTAAAAATGTAGTGTAAAAATAAATAAAATCCTATTGTCTGTCCTGTTTATTGCTTGGGCACTGTTATTTACGTGACAACACCTGAACATAACGCACACAGACACACATTGGCTGTTTGTTTCTACCTCTTCCCTCTCTGGAAGTCTCGGACCTCCAGCAGCCCGCCTCCGCCTTGATTAAACGATGAAAATAAAATAAAAGAGGGAGACAGGTTTTTCCTATTTTATCTTATTTTGTTTTATGTCTCCATCTCCTCTCGCTGGAAGCGTCGGACCTCCCACCTCCCGCTCCTGTCTCAAACACAGAGGTATCCCTCTCCACTGAGCACGCACGGCCTGTTAAATAGCCTGTAACAGTTAACAACTGTGTGACACAAACTCAGTGCTTTGGTCATTAAATAATGTCGGGCTCGGTTCGGGTTCGGCAGAAATATGCGGCCCGTGCCGCGCTCTAACACACACACACAAACACACGGAAAACCGGACATTATCATCAGTTTATAAAAGACCCCCAGATGCCCCAGACGGGACGTGAAATGTGGACATGTCCGGGCAAAAGAGGACATTTGGTCAGCCTAGTTAAATGCATGCAGTCTGTTTTTTAAACTTAAAACGCAGGTAAAAAACTTTGTTTTGAGGTCTACCTCCTTAGGTTTAGGCAAGAAAAATCACATGGTTAGGTTAGTGTTAGCGTTATGTTCAGCAGGAAACATCGTGGTTTTGCTAAAAATAAGTATGTTTCCTACCAGGGGTGTAAATCCCAAGTTTTGTTATGATATGATACGATATACTATGATATGATGCGATACAATATGATACAATGTGATGTGATGCAACGCGATAGGATACAATACAGTACAATATGATACGATGTGATAGGATACTAATACGATACGATGCGATTCGACTCAACTCAATTCTTTCGACATCAAACAGATATTTGCTGGTATCACAAAGTCTGCCACAATTTCCTGCCTGTGATCAATATGAGATGACATCAGCAAATATCCTCGTCACCATTTTCAGTACTAGGCTGCTAGCACCGTTTAAATTATAGCATAGACGTGCCATGGGAATTTAAAAATAAAGGCATATCTTAAAGATGATGATATGTAGCAATGTTTTCACTTTGTATCAATGATATTAGATAGTTTATCATTGAACTGATATACTGATCCAGATCAATGTATCGCTAAACCCCAATTTCTTAACGTAATGTAATGTCACATACACACATCGTACATACCAGCGCACTACATTATTATTAAAATAACTCGTGTTACAACGTTATCCCGGGTCAAAGTCCGGAATTTGTTGACTCTCCCGCCCACCCTATGCAAACTTTCTCACTTTTTATACTACAGCGGATGCTTGAAGTGTCAAAAAATGCCGCCGCCCAATGCGTCTTATAATGCCGCTAAAGAGTGTCTGTGTCTGACGCAGAGGGCCACTGACTAAGCGTCTGTGGTTGATGAGTTGGGAGTGAGACCGGGTTGACTAAATGCACACTGCAGGTATCAGTGTTTTGTAAGCTTTTTAAAGTGTTATTTAGAGAGAGAATGTTGTGATGGTAAGATCAGAAAATACAAACAAAAAACATATTTTATATTTGATAAAGTGCATATTTTGTGTTGTTATGCTCAGAGGTTTAGATTCCACAAAAAGATGAAGCAAAGATCAACATATTTTCTACTTTTCATGCTTGTTTTTTACCACAGTTAGTAGAGTTTCAAGATGAAGAATGATTTTACTGTCAGTCATCTACAGTTCCAACATGAGTTAACCAAAAAATGTGATGAGCTTTGCCTTATGACTTCTTTCCTAATTAATGCCAGCAAGTGATGTATAATTAAATTCTCCCTCATGACTTCAACTGTGCAGCATCATGCAGTAGTCTGCGGCTAACAGCTTCTTTTATATATTTTTTTGTTTGTTCGTTTGTCATGTGTTTGTTTGTTTGTTTGTATCTTTCATTTCTATATTTCCTCTTTTTTTTTAATCGACTTTTGGAGATATACTCTCAGCAGTATAGAAACCGAGTAAGTCTTTTCAACTCTTCCTCAGGGTTCACTCCCTCACTTTCCCTCTGTTGCATCTCTGTCTTTTACCTCTCCTTCACTTCACCTCACTTTGTTTGGTACCTGTGCAGTTTTCCTGTTTGGCATGGCTTTTTAACGGACAACCTGTTGTCCTCATTCCAGCCAGTCTGTTAGTTAGTGAGGCTTTGTCTGCCCCTGGTGTTCACAGGGTGGTACTGTCGTTATGTCCCTGGATTTCCTCACAGTTAGCCTCCCTGTGCATGCAGTTCTACTCCAGTCATTCAATTCTATAGCTTGTACTGCCACAAGGTGTTACGCACCAGGCGCTGTATACTGCTATAGAATTTATTTTATCTGGGTACTGACAGATTTAGAGTAATGTCAGTTAATTTTAAAGGAGTACTCCACTCATAAAATGATCATTTGTATATCTATTACGCACCCCATGATACGTTTAATTTGTGAAGAAAAATTTGTTTTTCCTCACATGCCTCCACGGTGAACGAAGAATCCAAAAACTGGAGAAAATTCTTGATGAACTGTAGTGAAAGGGGGCCACGTTTAACAACTGCAAAACTATATCAAACATCTCTTTACAAGCTCTCACACAACTCACGCATTATAATCTAAGTCTCATTTATCCAGTCGTATGCTCAGTACTTCCCAAATACATGTATTTTTGCTAGATCCTTATGATTTAAAACACTTTGCACAACAGTCCCAAGTGCAACACACACCGCCGCCGTACGCCGTGCGTCAAAACGCCCGCCTCCATTATATTCTATGAACCAACCCACACTGGCACCGGCCGAAACGCAACGCAGCTCTGCTTCAGCCCACTGCTCTATTTCCGGCGCAGCCGGCGCTCATGGCGGCGCTGCGAGAAAAGCCTTTTATGTACGTCTCATCTCGTAGAATCAACTCCGGTTGTTTCAAATTTTTAATAAGACGACTTCGATAAGAAATTCAAGTTGTTGTTGCCTCAAAGTTTTTCCTCTTCTTCTTCTGTTACTAGCAGTTGGCAACCGTTGGCAACTAGTGTAGGTACAGCCACCTAGCGGGCTGGGGTGGGAAATACATGTTGACGGTGCCGCTGCGCGCCGCTGCCAGTGTGTGTTGGAGGGCGGCCCTTGACGGCCACAGCGCCGCGCTGGCGGTGGTGTGTGTTGCACTTCATGCAAGGTTTTGCAAGGTGCAAAAACGCGATTGCGCACCACACTGCTTTTTTTTTTTTAACTAGTGAAAAAAAGTTTGCTGCGCCTTTTTATTGTTGCCAGGCAACCAAGGACTCACCTCCTTATTCTAACCTTTCCGTGCAATCAATCTACCATTTATTTGTTTTATTTATTTGACAGTAATTAGTATCTGGTTCCTAAAATGTTGAGGCAGAGGGCACTTGCTGTAGCTCTGGTTGAGGGTGAGAGGCTGTCAGTAAATAGTTTGTTGGGCACAGTGAAACAGAGATCTGTGTGGGTACATGAGACCCTAAAAAAGAGGGTGGATCATGGGGAGTACCACCAGTTGGTCCAGGAGCTTCTCCTCCATGATGGCTGTTTCCAGGCATATTTTAGGATGACTCAGGGGCAGTTTGACAGCCTGCTGTCTATCATCGGGCTGTATGGCTCTGAGAATCCAGCAACCACTACCACCAGTTTCTCCTCCATTGTTTACCAACTGTAAACTTGTTGTGACCACCACAGAAGGCCCGCCTCTTAAATCATCTGATTGGACAATGCGAGAAAAGAGATGACGTGGGGCGTTTTTCCACTTCTAGTTTAAGTTTATTGGTATCAAGGAGTTCAAAGCGCTGTTTTGATATAGTTTTAATGTTAAATGTGGTCCCCTTTTCATACAATTCATCGTGAATTTTCTTTGTTTTTGGATTATTCGTTCACCGTGGAGGCATGCGAGAAAAACAAAGTTTTCTTCACAAATTCAAAGTAACATGGGGTCAAAAAATTGAAATACAAATGATCATTTTGTGGGTGATGTGTTCCTTTCATGTCAAAGTAACTGATTACTGTTACTAGTTGTACATTTAATAAATAATAGATTGATTTGTTATCTATGCCCTGAGTCAGTTTTGTAGATATGAGTTAAAGAAATACTCCACAGAAAATCTGTCTTTTAAACATAACACAACACTCGACATCTGCAGGCTTGAAGGTGGCTCTTAAAGGTTTGTGCTGTGCTTCTTTGTGGAAGATGGCAACTGTAGTCAGCTGAGATTCACAGTAGTTATAATAGATTCCAAAGGCGACACAGAGCATCAGAACACCCATAGAAACCACTCAAACGACTCCTGCAGCACCATCCACCTCTCTGCCACTGATCTCATAAGAATCAAGGTGTGGGCTTAGATTCCAGACTCACAGACAAAATAAGGACAGCAGAAGGCACCCATTCGGAACAAGCAAACAAGCCCATAGGGGCATAACCAAGGCAGCAAAGAAGCAAAAAGAAAGACAGGAGAACAAGCAAAAAAAGGCTAGAACACTATATCATGAAGGCACAACACAAAACATGGTGTAGCAGTGGGTGTAAAGGGGACGTAAAAACTGCTGATGAGAGAATTGGGAGCATATGTTCAGGTGGTTGTGGAGGTAAGGTGATAAAAACTGGTGGGAATGGTAGAATCCTTAATAAAAGGAAATGTTAAAGACATAGTTCAACATCTTGGGAAGACTTTTTTGCTTCCTTGCTAAGCGTTGAATGAGAAAATTAACATAAAGCTGTGTAAAAAGTGTTACTTGGATCCAAATGATCCAAGTCTAGAATTGTCAAGATTACCAAATCTGGATAACCAGCGCTCTAAATGGGACTACATATCACAGTGTAGGCTACTAGCTAATGTAAAGGACAGGTGCAATTGTCAACATGTGGTCAATCTTAGTGTTTTCATTTGAAGAAACAGAAAACAGCATGGGAGATCCAATTGTTAGAAACTCCTTTTGACTGTTTTGTTGTAAATAACATAAAGTTAAAATTAAGCAAATTGTATTGATATTTACAGCTGCTTGAGGATTAATTTATGGAAACAGTATCCTTTATTTTACCAAAAGGCTTAATAGATAGTCTATCCACCTCAACTGTAGTTCAACAACTTAAATGGAAAATAGAACTAACTGTGTTTATATTTGACCAATTTTGACCAAAGTTCTGTTGCATTTTGTTCCTGACATCCACCCTGAATCCAGCCATCTGCTGGAATCAGGATAATCCTTATTTTCTGGATCAAAGGTATCCCAACCTTTCCTAAAAGTTTTGAAGAACGCATATCAAAGGTTTGATCCGGATCAAATCCAAAACTGAATTTCACGATCTAAACCAATTTCAAAATCCTTTTTTTTTTCTTCTTTTGAACAACCCATTTTCGAGGTTTCGTCCAATCCAATAGCCGAAATCTGATCTAGACAGCTAGGGCTAGAGCTAGACTGTTAGCTTAGCTTAGCATAAAGACTAGAAACAGGGGGAAACAGCTAGCCTGACCCTTGGCCTTCACTTGCAAACTATCAAATGTCCAGAAAGAAACACAAAATGACCTCAGAGAGATGCAAAACCAAGACGAAGTCTATCTGAGTGTTCCAGTACCCATACTACCATACTATATATATATATGTATGCCAGAAAAGGATTAAGTATGTCTGTCAAATGCAGTAAATACCATTATGTTCTACTACATCTGGTCTGATTTTGCAAGCCAGCATTCTTCTCTGGGTATTCTGACCCACAATCCTCTGCACAGTGGACGATAGGCTACGTCGCATTGACTGACCCGCAAACAGACGACAGCTGATTGGATGACAGTGCATTCAAGTAACTGATGACCATTCGAATAGTCATAATAGGAATATCAATTGTCTAAATGAACAAAATAATCAAACAAACAGCCGCACTGTCTCAAAAGCCAATAACATCATTAAGGCCAATACACATCCCGGCCACCACCTGTTCAATCTGTTACCCTCTGGTAGGTGTTACAGGTCCATCAAATCCAGAACCACCAGATTCACGTATAGCTTCTTCCCAGGCAGCTGCAGTACCGATGCGATTGGGAACGCACCCTATATGTCTTGGCTGTATGTAGGAGAGATGGCGGGTGGATTCCTGAATCCTGACTGGAATCCATTGAAACTTGAGCTGCCTTCCTCTGCTAAACTTCAGCCTTTACAGAGCCACCTCCAATCCTACATGTGGTGAGAAATTGATACTCAACGAGATGGATTTTCAGCGGACTACTCCTTTGATCCCCCATGACATTTCCTTTATTTGTAGCTGATGATTAGGCTCAGTCCATACCTGTGAAGCCTTGCCTATAATTCCCAGAATCAGCTTGTAACATCCTGTGTGTGTGTCTCTATGTGTACCCTCTCCTCCACAGTACTCCCCCAGTATGCGGGCCACCTATCTGTCCATGACCGAGGAACAGATAAGACACTTTGGGAACGACTTCCAAGCATAGACTTCTTTATCTGACCGAGGAGGGAAACGGCATCACACCAACACGCTCAACAGACAAAGACTGTGAGGCGACTCCAAGCACCACAGAGGACAGTGTGTACCATCTCACTAGTCCAGGACTCAGGACAGCTGAACCATATCGGTACTGTTCTCTGTGCTCGTAAATGATTAATCACACATGTCTGCCCTGAGGTATTCTTTCGGGGGAACTTGCTAAATATTTCTGACACGTGCTGAGGAACTTAACCTGCTCTTAATATGTTGTGTTCGTCATCTACTGGTGAAGCATCGAGGGAAGATTTGGCTGTCTTAATGTCCCTGAGTTCTTCAGGAAAAACACGACTAAACATAACTTTGATGAAATTAATTTTTCACTGCAGTAAAACAGCAACGTGCTCACATTTAAAGTAACAATAAAAGGACAATTTTAAACTCTCCTGTTGAAAGAGATCTCTCCAAAACTCACATTCAGGTCTCCAAAGAGAAAAATGTGAACATGACAGCTGATGTAAACGTATTCTTTTGTATTATGCTTCATGCTTGATATTTGTGAAGCACAAACCCAGCACTGGCAGCACACACGGGAGGTATTGTTGAGGTATAATTTATTTACATTCACACACAGACATGCCTGCAAGTGAAGCTTTACGTTTCTAAATCTCCTGGAGACTACCTTGAGACCACGGCTTCTGTATATAAGTTGTACAATAACAGACTGTTGTCTCATTCTGGTGTGGTTTTATTTTGATTTAAACAATGTGCCAATTTTATATATTTTTTCTAGTTTCTTGTGGCGATGTCACATAGAATTTTTTTTTTGTATTTCCTAAAGGGCCGATAATTCATGTCCTCGACGCATATCTAATCCAGCTAATACAATAAAGTTGTCCTTTCTGTTGGGAAGCTGTGCTGCTCTAACCATGATTAATGAGAATATTCAGGTAATAATTTTCAACTCAAAGCATCCAAACAGTACATGCTTGTACTGACTAACAATGATTTTCTGTAGGGATTTAATACATGCAGTTTTGTTTATTAATTATTTTTGGTAAATGTCATTTCTTTGAGCATGTTACATTGTACAGGCACTCAGAATGGTGCTTAATTTTGTGTGTGACCCCTAAAATTCAGGGTCTAATTGTGAGTTGAATAAATCAGTTTTGAGTACAGCTTTGTGTCTGCTCTTTGTTGATGGGTGTACATAACAGGGAAAACCATTGTGATCAACACCAAAGTGCCCCGAATGTCTAATGGCCAAAAAGTTGTTTAAAACTGGAGGAACAGTAAAGTATTTTCTTATTCCTCCAGCAGATGGCAGCATAGTCTAGCAGAAAGTGCTGCTCAATGGAAACTGCTGCTGCAGTAAAAGCCATTGGAGTTGACTGTGCACAGTATATCACAATATTTAAGGCTGATATGGCACACTTTAGAAGGTAAGAACTCTAATAAATATACAGCAAAAAGTGATAATGTATATAAAAGTAAAAGCAGTAATACCACTGTGTAAAAATACTGTTACAGGTAACAGTCTTGCATTTAAATGACCTTAAAGTACCAAAAAGTAAAAGCACTTATTATGCCAAATAGCTCATTTCAGAAAAATAAAGTATAATCTCAGAATATTTTATATAATGTGATTTTAATTTGTATCTGTGACACCAGGGGTTCAGCACGCCCAGGTCCCAGCCCTGGCCCACAATGCACCCAGCCTTGATGCCAGTCCCTGCAAGTGGTGGGCCCACAGGGTGGCAGCTACATGTTATTCATTGGGGCTGAGCCCGACCGGGCCCCACGGCCCAATGCCCCGCCACCATACTGGGCGAGGTACTCATTTCCCAAGTGTGCCATGTTGTCAAATAATTTTTAAGGACTGGGTAGGAGCTTTTTTTTTTTTTTTTTTTTTTTTTAACTTTGGGGAAGGGCATACAAATTTGAATGTTATCTGTTACCACTGATTTTTAAGGAAAATTGCTTTAAAAATCACCAAAATTACATCATTTATCATCAAAAAGTGTAAAAACAGAAATTATGGTTGGATTTTCAAATTTACAAAGGTCTCCCATCAGACAAATCAAAACAAACCTAAATCTGAGCTTAAAATAGTGATATCTTATCAAAATCATTTTATTCTATGTGTCATTTGAAATTTGGCAAAAAATAAACCGTTTGAACTAAGTAACCAGCATGTGCATGAGTTAAAACATCTTGGAGCAGCCAGTCCAATCTGTGGCCCTTTGCTGCACGTCATCCCCTTTCCTGTCACCTTCTAGCTGCATTGTAATAAAATAATAATATAAAAAAGGCTTACAAACAGTTATTTTTATTTTTTTCCCTCCACGTTTGTTTATAAGGTTTTATATAAAAATGTTTACATAAGATAGCAATCAAGCAAATGAAAAGAAAGAAAGAGGGGGGAAAAAAAGCAAATTAAAAAATTAACAATACAGGCAGCAACTTGTTGAAAATATTGATTTCCGGTTATTTTAAAAAAATGAATAACTAATTTATGGTGGAAGGATGGTCGTGCATTTTCCCCAAATCACTCAGGGAGTAAAGAAAAATAAGGAAAAATATTTGTTGCTTCGGGGAGGGTCAAAATAATAAATACCGGTAGATAAATCAAATAAATAAATCAATAAAAGTCACACCCCTGCCCTCCTGTGATAAGTAAAGAACAGTCCCTAAATTTCTCAGACTTGCACTTCAGTACGGTAGTTAAGTAAATATACTTAATAAATGTATAATTATACGTTATAAATTTCATCTCAGTACATTTGTGACAGAAAAACATTAATAATATTAGAAAAAACAAGTTTTTATTCTAGGAGGAAGTAGCTGTTAGCATTGTTTAGCTAGCTCGACACAACGCCGGTTGCTCCGCAGGTCTCCATGGACAACAACGTACACGCACGCGCACTCTCACTCACTCACACACACACCAACCCACCGCGGCAGCAGGGCAGCGGAGAGGAGCCCGGACACACCAACAGGGAAGTGACTGTAGCAGGTGGGCTGCTGCCGGTGACACCCACCTCCTCCTCCACCTCCTCCTCCTCCTCCTCCACCTCTCCTCTGCTCCTCGTCTGCCGCAGGATGAATGATTCTCGCGTTTCTACCCTGCGGAGCGGAAACACACCGCACGAGCGGCGGAGCGTCGACGCACTTTGAAAAGAAGGACGTAGAAAGAAACAAACGGTCGCCGGGACCGACAGTAAGACGAGAGGTCGTTAAGTGAAGAAGACACGACGTGAGGGTGTTTAGCTCGGTAGTAGCTGCTGTTAGGAACCATTACATTAGCTGAAGAGAGTCCTGTAGTTGTTGAGTGTGTCTACAAAGGGCTGCAGGTGACTCTTGTTTTACCTTTAGAGGGGGTGACATGCAGGTACCGACAGAGAGGAGCATGGTCCAGGGTCCCGTTTGACGCTCATTATCCTTCACTCTGAACACAAGTGACCATGAAGGACACGGGGGAATCAAAAGACCACCAACTAACCGTGAGTTCAAACTACACAGTGTCCTTTTAAATGCTTGTGACTTTACATCTGTACCATTGAGTCAGTGAGGTTTCCCTTTCCTCAGGCAAACTGTTGTATCGGTCTATAGTTGGTGAGGTGGGTGCACTACTAGGAAGGTGGGTAGGTTACAGAGGAGGAAGTGAATATGCTCTTCTATACATTTAAATGGATTTATGGCTGATAGTAGGGTATACTGTAGACGGACAGACAAAGAGGTGGGTATATCCTGCCTATACCCAACCAATGCAGTGTACTGTGGGTAATACAAAGAAACAAACATAGAAATTTGCTTCTTACTGTACACTCAGGGGCCACTTTATTAGATATACCTATGCAACCCAACAGTTCTGCCATAGAGTCTACTTATAGATGCCGATAATGGTAGATAGAAAGATAGAGAGATAGAAAAGGAGGTGGGAAGCTACAACGAAGCAAACCTAGAACTCATTAGATACACCTATGCAATCCAACCAAACTGTTCTGCCATAAAGTCTACTTATAGATGCCTATAATGTTAGATCAGTAGGGTGTACTGTAAACGGACAGACAAAGAGGTGGGTATATCCTTCCTGAACCCTCGACTACACCAGTGACCTTAACCAATACAGTATTCTGTAGGTACGACAGAGAAACAAACCTAGAAATCTGCTTCTTACTGTACACTCAGGGGCTACTTTATTAGATACACCTATGCAATCTATTGCAACTGTTCTGCCATTAAGTCCACTTATAGATGCTTTTAATGTAAGATAGATAGATAGATGGATAGATAGTAGAGTATACTGTTAACGGACAGAAAAAGACGTGGGTATATCCTTCCTATACCCTTGACTACACCAGTGACCTTAGCCAATACAGTGTACTGTAGGTAATACGAAGACAAACCTAGAAATCTGCTGCTTAGTGTACACCCAGGGGCCACTTTATTAGATACACCTATGCAATCTAATGCAACTGTTCTGCCTTAAAGTCTACTCATAGTCATAGATGCCTATAATGTAAGATAGATAGATAGATAGATAGATAGGGTATACTGTAAACAGACAGAAAAAGACATGGGTATATCCTTCCCATACCCTCAACTACACCAATGATCTTAACCAGTACAGTGGACTGTAGGTAATACAAAGACAAACCTAGAAATCTGCTGGTTACTGTACACTCAAGGGACACTTTGTTAGATATACCTATGGAACCCAACTGTTCTGCCATAAAGTCTACTTTTAGATGCCTATATATAATGTTAGATAGATAAATAGTCTCACTGTTTTGTTGTCTTATGACCTCCTATGTACAGCACTTTGTTTCAGCTGTGGTTGTTTTAAAGCGCTTTATAAATAAAGTTGAGTTGAGTTGAGTTGAGTTGAGTCTTTATTGTCCACCTCTGTGGAAATTTGGCTTTTCTCAAACACAGCAAAGGTACACAGAAACACATAACACAATACTCCACTGAAAATGTACAAACATAGAAGATAAAACGGTGCAAAAAGGCAGGTAGCAGCAATACGTTTTGTAAATGCTAAAGACAGCACGTCTTATAAAGTATAAGTATAAAGTAACAGCATTCCCTGATGCAGTCATTCTGTGGTCAATGCCTATATGGCAGTCATCTTCCCTGCAATGTTGACAGTCCCTGAGAGGTTTTTTTTTTGTTGTTATTTTTTTTAAATTTGCACTGATGTTGTTGTTTAAAGGATCAAATGCTTTGTTGTAATGTTCAGGTTTTGTTGACATTGTATGAAATGTTATGAGGAGGTAATGTGATATAACGACCAAGTGGGTAAAGACAAATGATAGAACAGCTAAAACCTTTGTATACCTTACCTTGCCCTTACCCTAGTAAGTCCAGAAAATTACATCACTTTACTGTAATGTAACCTTTAAAACTAAGCAAACACAACACTTCCAATATTACAATTAGGGCTGTCACTAACGATTATTTTCATTGTCGACTAATCTGTCGATTATTTCTTCGATTAGTCGACTAATCATTTCATTGAAAAATGTGTTAAAATGTTGAAAAATGTAGGTCTGTCTCGCCCAAACCCCAAAATTACATTATCTAATGTCTTGTTTCATACTCACGCCAAAGGGTTTTAGTTCACTGTCACGGGAGAGTGTGTAAAGCTGCCAATATCTGAATGTAAGAAGCTGCAGTAAGAGTATTTTGGGGTACTTTTATAGTACTTTTCTATGAAAAATGACTCAAAACGATTATTCGACTACTAAAATAGTCACTGATTATTTTAATAGTCGATTAGTCATCGATTAGTCGACTAATCGTGGCAGCCCTAATTACAATATACAAAATGTAAGACGATATAGTCTCATATCATGATTATATATATTGATATTATATCGTTATAATATCAATATAATGACCAATCCTAGGGTATAACATGACATCGACGACTTTTCTTTTTTTGGTTAGTGACAGAGAACAGCAGAATGACTGTAATAGACATAAAGATAAGGCGAGAAAGCGCAGCAGCTACTGGTGTATACAGATACTGCTGAAAATGAGTATTGAAACTGTTGAAAATATTCCAATTTAATGTGTATTGACATGTTGATATTTTTTACCGTAATACTTCTCTTTACGTACATGAGGGATAACACCTCTGAATATAATGCCGTCCAGTAAACCACCTCTC